AGTCGCCGCTCACCATATCTGTTCTCGTCCCGTCTCCCGCCGCACTCCGATCTCACAGTCCTTGTTCCGCCAGCTGATGTCCACCCTGGCCCAACCAGATGAGTCACTGGTGATCTGCAATGTACCACCATGATTTGTCTTGGGTTCTTTGCCCTACTGCCCTGGGACGACTTGCATCGTGTCGTGGTGTCCTCGCTAGACTCTACCCTGACCCATATGTCCGTGCACCTGCCAAGTAGCAAAAACGATTAACTGAAGTAGGGGACGTGATCCTGGTTGCTCGCCAATTAACCGGCTCTATGCCATGTCCGGTCAGCATAACAGTAGGGATATCAGCGAACGCACTGCGCAGCCCATCTGCGCAGGTCAGCCTGGCCCATCTACGCGCGGCCGACAAGAAAACTCATGAACACTTTCATTTTTTTGCAAAATATATCGTGCGAAGAAGATGCACGGAATGGCTGAAAACTAGGCTGAGGAAAAGTAGCATCCAGAGACTCTCAAACAAATTCATGGTCCATCGCTTCTGACAATGGCAGCGACGACATCAGGGAGCTGATTGCAGCAACTCTCTACCAAGCGCGACGCTGGTTACTCACCAGGGCAGGGCGCTTCCATCTCGCAAGAAATGGCCGCGAGCGAGAAATGCAAGTCCGATTTTGGAACGATCCAACCAGGGTAATCCCTTGAAAATTGGCCTGAACACCTCTCATACTGGTGTTTCACGATGTGCAAACTTTCAGAGAAATCGACCGGGGAGAACGTGGTGAGCTCGTGGGTCCTCCTGTATCGCGTATGATTTGAATGGTCGCGGGGACAGAAGAACAGTAATTTTACGACTCCCAGCGGTGCAAACAGACCGCAGCCATGTTTTCTCTGTCGGCCGCGATCACGTTCAACAAATCGATGACGCAATGCATGCGCAGCGGCCTGCGCAGTGCGTTCGCTGACATCCCTAATAACAGAGATTTCTCCATCAAGGAGGACATTCACCTGGCCAACATGTACTGGGAAAAGCAACCTCCGCCCGCTCTGGGCCAGCAACCTTCCACATCAGTCCAGGAGTGGGAAGCAGATCGCAGTGTCTGGGGCTTGCTGTGCCGATGGCGCCAGTTGATGGAATGCTTGCAGGTTGAAACTAGACAGCGCATCGGCGACCGGCTAAACTCTTATTGATATGCCATAAGCGCCGTGTAAATGTTCTGCTTGGTGCGACGATGCTTGACGCAAAGGATGGTTTCCCAAGAGGTGGTCGAGTTTGCGTTGTGTGGGCTGGAGCGTAGGCCGAACGGCAGTGCTCGATCAAAGTAAAATTTCCCTTGCCACTGAATACCAGATAGAGACCAGTTCGGCGGGTGCACAGGGATGAGCGGAATGCGGAATGCGTTGTGGATGGCCAGCTGTGTCAGCAATGCACCCTGCCCGTAGGCCATGATTGTTTGCACTGGGTCGTCAATCCGGATATAAGACAGGCTAAACGTGAACAGGTCGATGCCATTGTTAACGCTTTTGCCAACGGGAGCTGATAAATGGTGGAAAATGAGTAGTTTACCATTCTTCGTGGGCACCATGCCAATGCCCGAGTACTGGTATGATGGAAATGGAGGGATGGAATAAGGGTCTCTCCTTGTGCACAGGATGTTGCCAGATACTCTGATATGTACACGGAATGTTCAGTACATGAGGGAAGATTTGTGTGGGTCACAGTGTGACGGCGACCCATGAAGCCTAATGCTACTGTGCAGTTAGTTGTCTTTGTAGCTATATTGCATGGCGCTATTTTCTCCGGCGCTTGTAAGCCCCTGCTAGTGCAGCAAGAGAATGCCTTGCCTAAATGATCAGTGAGCAGTCTAGTTAAGCTGACAACATCGATGGGCGTGTGAATACATGGCATAATGGAATCAAGAGCAGGGCTGGCTGGTATGGTGAGTGATAGAAACTGTGTGTTACTACTGTCTTCACATGCCTGCTTCAAAGCAGAGCTAGTGGCCTGGCGCCCCACCATGCTTGGGTCGGGATCTGCCTGACCGTTCGGCGGGTGGAGCTGATGTGCTAGGCCAGTTGCTGGAGGAGTTGGCCATGCATGCCAATTTTTGGGTGGCAGCCTTGACATTACTGTAGAGGTGCGCTCTCCCACACTCCCCTTGGCATCTGGACCAGTTGTAACTACGGCAAATTGGGCGGCCACTGACTGAGGATGAGGAATGTGCGCTGCCGAGGAGAGTGGCAGAGGGCCCCCCAGCGGATGGGGATGAACGAGTGAGCCTGCGAAGCACGAAGCTGGAGCCTTACTAGTAGTGCTCAGTTGGCACATGTTATGGCATGGTCTTGTGTTGCTTATGTTAGCTTAGAGTTTTACCACACACCCACCCTTTGGTCCTGTGCGTTTGTGCGTGTTTTGTCAGCTGTTTTCTGGTTTTCCGTGGCATGTCGCATGCTGTGTTTCTGTCCCGAGGGGCTCAGCGTTTTTTGGCATGATTGCTTTCTTCCACTTGCTTTCCTTCGGCTTTTTGGGTGTGACTGGCAGTGGGGCAGGACCCATATTAGTAGAAGAGTTTTGGGCGGCAAGGCGAGTTTTCCGCCAGCCCGGTTTAGCGGCCATGGCTGGAAATTTAGAGAGTCGGATTTTCAGGTGCTACCCTGCTGCCCAGTCACCCACACCGTGCCATTGCTCTGCCTGTGTCTTGCACTGACACCTCTCTTGCTGGCCGGCTTGCTCTTTATTACTTTCTTGCCTTGTTTTTTTTGCCAGCGTGTGGGTGCGAGTGTAGTGTTACGGTACACTGAGTAATTTCTCTGGTAGACGACTAGCCATGTGCATTCTCTGGTAGACCATTACCCACGTACATTCTTTGGTAGACCACTACTCGTGAGTACATTCTCTGGTAGACCACTACTCGTGAGTACATTCCCTGGTAGACCACTACTCGTGAGTACGTTCTCTGGTAGACCACTACTCGTGAGTACATTCTCTGGTAGACCACTACTCGTGAGTACATTCTCTGGTAGACCACTACGCAGGAGTACATTCTCTGGTAGACCACTACTCGTGAGTACATTCTCTGGTAGACCACTACTCATGAGTACATTCTCTGGTAGACCACTACTCGTGAGTACATTCTCTGGTAGACCACTACTCGTGAGTACATTCTCGGGTAGACCACTACTCGTGAGTACATTCTCTGGTAGACCACTACTCGTGAGTACATTCTCTGGTAGACCACTACTCATGAGTACATTCTCTGGTAGACCACTACGCAGGTACATTCTCTGTTAGACCCCTAATCGTGAGTACATTCTCGGGCCTCCTCAAGCTCGGCTTACGAAGGATATTATGCCCCTTGTGTGTTCCAGATGGTAGTCATAATCATGTGATGTGAGCTTTTCAAAGCTTCAAAATTCATAGTCTCAAATCCCGGTTCGTGGAACATAAGACATTCGTTCGTATCTTTGTGTATTGTAAAGTTAGCCATCATGGTATGTGACTAGAGGGAAATCCATGGTCACAATATTATTCCCATGGTGCTATGTGCCAATAATTGTTTAACTAGGATGCTTCAAGTGATTGCGAATACACTTCTGGTCTTTCTATGTAATTTTTCTCTATCGGATTTCTGTTTCTCAGGAAATAAGGACTGTAACGAAACGTATATCATCCGTTAAAAAGGTGTGCACCTTCCAGATACAGTGCTGTTCCGACAATATTGTATGATGCAATTGTTCTCCAGGGAGTGATTTACGACGTGATAGCTGTCTATAAATGCATCACATGGGATCATAATGTTATTTGTCCTCCACAGGTACAGGATGAGACATGTACAACATGCTTTGTATCATAAAGATGATGTCAACCTGTAATTCTGTCAGGACAGAACCAATGACTGAGTGAGGTTGAGTTGTTGGGGGCTATGTACTCTGGATATAACTAATGCAGGGCTGAAAGTCGTTGAAATTCATTGCTAGTTGTACATAGCCAGTTTGAGAGGTGAAATAGATTTGGTGCAACAGTGGCACGTCACGCGAAATTACGCATCTATGAGCGACATCCACAAAACCTGCGGGGAGAGTACGCGTGTACTCGAGTCTCATCCTGAGCACATTTTTTCTTCTTTTTTTAAGCTCCAGTACAGCTGTATTTTTCATTGCAAAGCCGTCCTCGATTGTTGTGTTCGTTGTTCAAACGAAGTGGACATTCAATCAAGAAGGCAGAGGACATAGGAGCCTGATTGGAGTTTCTCGTGACATAGGACGGCCACACAGAGAGTCAGAGACACTTTGCGATTTTCTGAATAAAAAATACAGTACGCACGATGCAGAGTTCAATTTGTGCGATATCAAAACTGTTTGTGATCCACCACATCGAGCACAACGCGATCTAAACACGCTTACCGACGGTTAGCCTGCTGACCTGAACGGACAAATGATCCCTGGCTTTAGCAGACGCCAGAAGTTGGAAACCATGTCCTTTGCCGCGACGTCCATCCCCAAAAAGAACTCTATCTTTATCGTGAAAAGGCTTGAAATACTCAATATTCAACGGAGGTTCGCGGTCTCAAGCTTTCTCAGATCGAATCATTTTTGTTGTAGCAGTTGCACGGCAGATCCCCGCCACTACTTCAACAGAGTTTCGCTTTACAGCATGCCTGGAGCAAGCCATATCGAGGTTGCAAGCTACCCCTCTCAGCAAGAAATTCGAAATTTCAATGGTATACTACGAACAAATTTCAGAAGGTATGGTTCGCGGCGCGAACGTTCTACCTACCTCATTCGAACTTTGCAGGATGGTTCTGACCTGCACGGTAGGCATGGAACCACGGGGTTTGATGTCATAGCTGACACACAAAGTCACACACACAGCACATTCATGCGCACAGATACTAAATTATTCGACGTCATCATCTTCTTCCCGCTGGCCTCAAATGTATGATAACGTGCTATTTCGCCTGACGAATGCATGGCAAAGCTTTTATTGGGGGGGGGGGGGGATACTTCTGACTTACCATGATGGTCATAGGAATTCTATGAGAGCGATGGACATTTTGAAAGTATGACTCTGGCACTTCTTCCATGAGATCCGGTCTAATCACAGGTTCGGTTGCAGTGCCGCTGTTCACGGCTTGTCGTACTTGTTCCCCATCGTCATCTTCACATGCTCTAACCAGGTCTGGATGAGGTGCATTGGTTGAGTAGTAGTGATCACTGTACTCAGCCAGATTTGGTGGTTGATACTTGTCCTTACTCTCCTCTTCAGACGCTGCTTCCATTGCTACAGTACAAACATAAGCACATGAAAAGCAATGTCTACTTGAACATGGTAAGATTGCATGGTGTGTAGGTAAATACTGGGATTGCATGGTGTGTAGGTAAATACTGGGATTGCATGGTGTGTAGGTAAATACTGGGATTGCATGATGTATAGGTAAATACTGGGATTGCATGGTGTGTAGGTAAATACTGGGATTGCATGGTGTATAGGTAAATACTGGGATTGCATGGTGTGTAGGTAAATACTGGGATTGCATGGTGTATAGGTAAATACTGGGATTGCATGGTGTGTAGGTAAATACTGGGATTGCATGGTGTATAGGTAAATACTGGGATTGCATGGTGTGTAGGTAAATACTGGGATTGCATGGTATATAGGTAAATACTGGGATTGCATGGTGTATAGGTAAATACTGGGATTGCATGGTGTGTAGGTAAATACTGGGATTGCATGGTGTATAGGTAAATACTGGGATTGCATGGTGTGTAGGTAAATACTGGGATTGCATGATGTGTAGGTAAATACTGGGATTGCATGGTGTGTAGGTAAATACTGGGATTGCATGGTGTGTAGGTAAATACTGGGATTGCATGGTGTGTAGGTAAATACTGGGATTGCATGATGTGTAGGTAAATACTGGGATTGCATGGTGTGTAGGTAAATACTGGGATTGCATGGTGTATAGGTAAATACTGGGATTGCATGGTGTGTAGGTAAATACTGGGATTGCATGGTGTATAGGTAAATACTGGGATTGCATGGTGTGTAGGTAAATACTGGGATTGCATGGTGTATAGGTAAATACTGGGATTGCATGGTGTGTAGGTAAATACTGGGATTGCATGGTGTGTAGGTAAATACTGGGATTGCATGGTGTGTAGGTAAATACTGGGATTGCATGGTGTATAGGAAAATACTGGGATTGCATGGTGTGTAGGTAAATACTGGGATTGCATGGTGTATAGGTAAATACTGGGACAGGGAACGCATCATCTTCCATCACCAGCAATCAGCGACATCGCGCCTGACAAAAGTTTTTCAAATAAAATATTTCCACCCAAACGTTACTGCTGGTGCTGAGCTCGCGCGATCAAGTGTGAAGTTTTTTTTGTGATCTCAATGAAAAAGGATTTTTTTGAACTCACGCTGTACACAACAAGCTCTCTAATCTGCATGTCTTTTTCGGTGGAGGTGATTTTTGTTGTTGTTGTTGTTGTGGCTGGCGACGAGAAGGCTCTCATTTACGTTAGGAGCCTAGGTATCTCATAGACAGAAAGAGCCTGGTTTTTACGCCAAGCTGATGTTTTCAGCAGCAGTCCGCTGTGGAGAAAATTCAAGCAGTCTTAGGGGCCTGAAGTTTTCGCTGCTTCTTACCGGATCGACAGTGGGAAAGAAGGTACGTTTATTTTATTGTAATAAATCAGGTCGCGAGGTCGACACAATTGAGCTGTTCGTTGCACTGTGAATTTTGTTGCTTTAGGGTGGCAGCGTGCAGTACCTTGTGAAATGGAGAGACTTTATCCTCTATGAACTTGGGAGTATGAAGATATCAGATATCAGTGACGATCTATCAGGTGATTTCATTTCATTTTGGGTGAATTTATTGAATGTATTCTTGCATGAATTTGAAAATCTCCCTTTTGTTTGCTGTAGATATTTTGATGGTTCGGGGAATGTTGGGCCCTTTCTCAGATGACGAATGTTTGAGGCTGCTGATGGAGCTTGCACTGCTGTGCAGTGAAAAATAGAAGTGAAATAGTCACAAAAGGCACAATGGAGTTTTACGTGTAATAGTGCTCCACATTATTGTGTCGAGCCCTCTCCGCTGGCAGAAGGAAGTTTTCCTCCTTGAAATGAAATAGTCTATTTCTGACTTTCGAATCAGAAACTGGACAAAGGGGGTTGGGACCGAAGAATTTCCCTGTGAAGTTCTTTCCTTCAGGTTGGGATGCTTGCATGAACGTACATGGACAAGGCCCACGGGCTCACTACCTGATTACCTTCAAGCCTATGATTCGCCGTAGTCCATGTACGTTCCTGCAGTACTCCTCTGGATCTATGACAGGAGGGGATCGTGCTGCCTGGCAGTTTGTCTCTTCCACAGAAAAGGGCATTGATTAATCATGAGCTTACGGCAGAGCACAACGAAAGCATTGTAGCATGAAACAAATTTGTCTGAATACAAATCTGCACAATGGCACAGACGGCTAATGGAGGTAAAGCATAGCATAACCAGCATTGCATTCCTGGAAGCAGTGCAAGTTATAGATTTAGGTATCAATATTTATCTAAGCTTCAGCGAAGTCCGGACGCAGTACATTACTAGTGTGAAAGATAGAAGAAAAAGCAATGATATCCGTATATACCCGGAAAGAGAGGTGAGAGCGGGTGGGAGTAAGTGAAAGCACTTGTACAAACATCTGTGCAACCGGAAAGAGCAGAGAAAAGGCTAAAGCAATTACACAGGCCATGCGTACGAGGTAATTAAGCAGTGAGACCCAAACATTCTTGTAAATGAGAATGCAGCTTCAGTACACATTTTTTATTTCTTCATGTTGCGCTGCTGTTGCCGTTTCCCAACGATATGATGAGGCTCTCCGTTATGCTTCTGCTGGTTTTCCTGTGCAGGTATGTGCTGCCGTAGCTCAGAGAAATCTTTGGCCAGGGTAGCCAAGATGGCATCACCCACATCCTCCTCTCCTTCAGGTTCACTTGTAGGTTTAGCATTCATGCTTGACATCTCCTTCAGTACTGTGTAGGTCTTCTCCTATTGGTTTTTGTCTGCCCATACCATTTGCACTGCTCAGTGATGTCGGCAACAGTCGCCTCCAGCTCACCATTTTCCATTTTTTCTTTACTTTTTGGATACGCTGCGTGTCCTTGAGGTAGCATTTGAGGCTGACCAGTTCTTCTACCTTTGTTTTGCAAACATTCTTGTCTAGTGTTCAGTGATCGAGCCCAGTCAACGTTGAAGCACCCTTGTTATTTCTTTCCGTTTCTTTTTATTCTTGTACACCGCTGCCTGCAACCGTGCATTTTAATAGGTTTGCGAGAATCTCTTTTCACCTGCAGCAACCAGAGTTTGAAAGTACCGACACAAACTGGAAGCATGCCCAGTTTCCAGACAACTAGCTGCTTCAAAAATTCTTATGTCAGATGAGTGACTGGTTGCGCAGCCGACATTATGGTGACATAATGTGTCCTTGTAGTTCTGTTTATTATTACTTGTATATTTCACTGTTCGCGTCAAACTCGGCTAAAGGCCGGGTTTTCCGCATCCGTAGGAGCGCCACCACCCTTCAAGGATCGTGTGTTTTAATATTATAACAGTGTATTTTGGTATTTGCTTTGACCATCAGTCCTTGGCTGATGCTGGTCATACGTTCAACATGTTGACGCGTTTTTCAAGGCATTCAATATACGTAGGCCGCAAGATTCTATCTTTTCATACCGAATACCGATGGCTAGTGCTTCCCCACTAGCTGCGCAAGTGTCACATCTGGCTGCGGCCAACTACACTTTAATTTGTGTGTTGCCGCTATTGCTGTCTATGTCTCTGTGTGTGCCAGTATATGAGGAACGAGAATTGGTGTTATTGTTGTTGTTGTAGTCGTTGTTGTTGTTGTTCTGGTTGTCATGGGCTGTGGCTGTTGAATGTAGGCTGTTGCTTTTGTTGTTGTACTTTTAGTTGAAGCTACAAATAGGTAACCACCTTGATGATGGTGCACAATATCCGTTGAAGAAGCTGCAAAAAACACTGTATTCTCAAACCAGTGAGCTGCAGAATGAAGCCAAGTATCAAGCTGGCAAAGCTGTCAGCCACTCTAAACGAAAATTACACCAAACAAGTTGCTATTTGTCAACAGGCAGTCATAAAATTCGACTCCCTGACTCAGTCACTCTAGTCTACGACTCATACGAGTCGTACAGAGTACTGACTGTAGTCACTGAGTAGTCTACGTCCTTGTACATGACAGCATGCATCATGTCATGTCAGTACATCGACATGGCATGCATCCAGCACATGGCCATGGGAAAGCCCCTACAAAATGGCCTTCAGAGAAAGCCACGCGGTTGGAGAGGTAGTTTACTCGAAAAAACTGAGAAAGAAGTGCTTTTCATCTTCTTGCTGTTCAATGTCAAGCCAGAAACAATTGCGAAGCTGCTTGAAATGTGCAGAATGAGGCGATTTCCCAGATCTTTGAAGCTAGAAAGCGCACTGGACCTCCCCCCCCCCCCCCAATCTTTTGGAACTGGTCCTTCTTGAGGACAGAGATCAGACTAGCCAGGTGACAATGCTGTGGTTTGTTGGCTGACAATATTTGGAGGAAGCTTCAGAAATGACCATGAAGAAGGTCAATTCTTGCTATTTCCTCAAGATCACCAAGGTAACAGATACTTTTCAGTGGAGAAGAAAATCATGATTCTTAGGAGTTGAGATCGCATCGGTTGTTCAATGTTTTTCACTTTCGTTTTTTTCGTTGTGTAACTGTTTGTCTTGTTGGCGTGGTTCACTGGTTTGATGCCTTACATTTCGGTCATGGCCATAGTTCAGAGCAATTTTCTTCCTTCCAAGATCACTCTCTGCAGTAAATGCGCAAATATTTTACGGAATTTCGGACTCTGTGGGATGTCATATAATTGCTGGTAATGTTCTGCTAAATATGTATTTGTCAACATGGCATCTTTGAAAACTAATGAATCACTTTTTGGCGAAGTCACCATCTGTTGGACCTAGGTCGAAAGGTTGGACTGATCTACATCAAAGCCAGCCAGGCTCTACTAGTGATATAGCAGTGATGATATAGAACTGTAAAGTGTGTTCAGCACTGGCAAACCTAGATAACTGCTTTCTGGTCCACAAACTTGACTGGGGATAGGTTTCAGTAAGTCTGTTATGTGCCCTGCACAACATAGTACCACTGTATGAAGGAAATGAGCGAGAAGTGGATTGCAAGCATTGTGTTGTGATGCACATGCATACTTAGTGCATCACACATACCCACACACCTTGGCACTTGCAGACACGCAGGCTGTTCTAGAACTACCTAGTGTCTGTAGTGATGTTAGTTGTAATGACATTCCCCAAACTGTCTTTGTCTAGGCAAGTGTGCATGTGGATGTATGATGTTGTAGTCAGGAGTCGTTTTGCCAGGCGTCTTGTTTATATCTTTGACAGGGTACTGCTGCTAGGGTTATAGCAACAAGGGAAAACGGTCAAATTTCAATAAAAAAAACCACGCCACCCAGAAAGCCCCGTGAATCAGGCAACCAATCTCTAGAAATATTCCACGGTATATAGCCTCCGGGAAAGCTACTGCTACAAGGCAATCAAAAAACTAGAGCGCCAGTCATCATACATAAAATCAATTGCCAACGCAATGCGGAAAAGTCTTTGAGCGTATGGCAATATGCGCGTTCGTTGAGCGCCATAACTCAACAATTATTTGAATCGTGAAAATCGGCTGAACTGGAACTAGAAACTGAAAAAGAATGTGAGATCGAGTTGCTGTGCCTTTCCGAGGCATCGTGAAGTAGTTTCGAGAGGACATAGAAGTTGAACCTCCATGAATAGTGAGACGAGAGCTACCAGGATGGATGTGCTTGGTCCTGACCTTTCCAACAAGCCCAGGGTGACGAAACCCATCAAGGTGAACTGTATTGAGAGAAAAATTCGTTCGGACCTGTGCGCGAAAACTACACAAGAAGAGTCAGTGAGCTGGAACGGCAGTTTGCTGGAGTAAAAGGGGCCAGCACGGAAACGGTTAATCTAGCCTTATTCTATCCTTATTCTATCCTTCACCTAAACAGGAGAAACAGATACCCAGAGCATAACAAAGTTCTTGCGCGTGCAATCAAGATACAAGAGTACTTCTAGAATTAGGCTTATACCCGCTCAACCACATGGTGGATGTAATATTCACATGCATGTCGGTTGAAAATACAAGTCTCAGTGGCGGTGCGAGCCCTAGTTTACCCGTCTCTACGTGGCAGGCATAGAGCCTTGTCAAAGCAACGCAATAAAGATATGAATAGGCAAAGAGGAGCACAGCAGCCACTCTTATAGAGACCATTTAACAGTGTTAGCCTCAGCACCCGCAAACATGGAAGCACCTCCAAGTGCTCCCGCATGCCAAACTCGGGCACTCGTGTGCCCACGCTGACAGACACACATGCACACATACACACATACACCTGGCCTGGCCTGGTGTACAGCTGCCAAATGCTTGCCCGCGCTGCCCCTGAGACAGGGGAGAGTAGAAGAGAGAGTTCGAGAGAAGTCAGCATGGCCACTAGGAAGCCGCTCCGCCACGACGCCGTCCACGATTGCAATTGTGTCGCCGAAAGCCAGGAGCAGATTTAAAACAGCGATCACAGGTAGCGCAGTGCTGGTTGCAACACGGATGGCTGGTGATTGGTATGTGCTGGGGTGTGGGCGGTGATGCCGGGGCAGGTGTTGTGCACTTGTGCACAGCAAGTCCACCGGCACTTCGGAACCACCGAAGCCAGGCATGGCTTTGATGTGCGTCTGGCTGTTCCGCTACAGGCTATCAGCAGAACATTTGTGTCGTCCAAGTCCAGATTTACTATTGAATGTCCGTTTAAATACCAGGCAAGAGAGCGGTACCGGGGCAGGACCCTGCACACGAGT